CCTGCACTGTGAATGTTTACATGTTATGTTCAATTAAACCATGGCAACATGTAATGTTTGTGTATTATTATTTTCAGCAGACTGTGTTTTTCTATTGTTGTGACTTAGATGACGTTCAGAGCACATTTTATGACCAATTCATGCAAAACTCCGCGTTATCCCAAGGGGTTCACATACTTTTTCTTGCAACTGTATGTGTGTATATATATATATACACACATACATATGTATATATATACACACACATATATATACACATATATACATACACACACACACACACACACATATGTAGGTCTTTGGTTATTCGGGTTTTCTCCAGCGTAAAATTGGAAGTGTCCCGCGAACACCCGCGAAAACCTCAGAAAACACACACACACACACACACACACACACACACATATATATATAAAGGTAAAAAAGGATATATGCAGTGTTATCTTCATTTTAGATGTCAAAAGGGTCTCTCTCTCTCTCCTCTCTCTCTCTTCCTCTCTCTCTCTCTTTCTCTCCCCCCCCTCTCTCCGATCTTCTGCTCACCTGGCAAGCTGGCTTCAAGCTGTTCTCCAAGAAGCTCAGGGGTAGGCAACCTCGGCTCTTTTATGACTCATGGACTTCAACTCCCAGAATTCCTGAGTCAGCATAGCTGGGCTAGCTAGCTCTCTCCTGCCCTTCCTGCTTCCTGCAGAGACGCAGCAAAGGGAGGAGCCCCGCCCAAAAAGCTTTTCAGCTTGTTGGAGAACACCGTGAGTTTACTCTCTTTTAAACACACACACACACAAAAACACAGAGAGAGAGAAAGAGAGAGAGAGAAAGAGAGAGAAGCAGGGAAGCGCAAGTGCCTCTCTCTGTCTCTGTCTCTCTCTGCAAATGGCAGAGGAGGCTGGGAGCCACAGGGGAAGGCTCAAAGAGCCACATGCGGCTCCGTAGCCACAGGTTGCCGACCTGTGCCCATGGCGATGGGATCAAAATTCAAACCCATGGCAAATGACTCATATTTATGACGGCTGCAGCGTCCCGGGGTCATGTATCACTTTTTACAAGCTTCTGACAAATCAAATCGCTTAATAACCGTGTTACTAACTTTACAACTGCAGCGATTCACTGAACAACTGAGGCAAGAAAGATGGGACAAAACTCCCTTAACAAACGTCTCACTTAGCAACAGAAATTTCGGCCTCAGCTGTGGTCGTCATCTGAGGGCTACCTGTGGGGGCTGAAGATGGGGGGGGCGGGTGGTTTACCTTGAGCGCTTTCTTCTGATTCTCCTGAGCTGTGTGAAGGTGCTGCTGCCCTTTCTTGACGTAGTCCCCGGAGTCTAGAATGTTCTTCTCTATCCTGTCAATCGTTTCTCCCTAGATGGAACCGAAAGGGGGACATTTAGATATAAGAAGCTTTCGGGCAAAGATAACCAGTTCTGGAGGCAGAACAGATGGACAGAAAAAGAAGAGAGAGAGAGACTATAAGAGGTGCCTCCGCAGGCCGGCCGTGGGATTGGGGGACAACTAGTGGCAAAGGGAAAACAAAGCAAACAAATGGCGGTTCAAAAACGTTCAAAGGTAGCAGCTCAACTTCTGCATCATTTTTTTAAATTAATTTTTATTTTTTATTTTTCCAAACTCTCCCCCCCTATACATATACCGTGATATTTATCAGATGTTAACATACATTCTTTTTACATTCCTATATATAAGATACTTTTAATAAAATTAAATAAATACATATACATGAGTTTTGGTGTTGCTCGCCCATTTCCCTTTTCACTGTATCCACACTCCTTCTTCTTTACCTTCTTTCTCCCTTTCTCCTCTTTCTTCCCTACTTCCCTCTTCTTCCTCTCCTCTTCTCTTTCTTTCACCACTCTTCTCCCCTTTCTCCCCACTTCTCCTCCAACCTTCCTACTTCCTTCTCCCCTCCTTTACTCTTTTCTCTCTTCTCTCCTTTCTTCCCTCTCATCCCTCTTCAGATACAATTCAGGAGTAATGTTCGAGCAACTCCTCTCTCCAAATTTCCCTATCTGTATTATATACAATAAGATTAATTTTCTCTTACATTAATACTTCTATTTATCTAACCTTCTCAGTATATACTTCTATAAATATTTATACAACCTCCAGTTATTCAATACTGTGTCGCCTGGGTCTCCCTCCTCATTTGTTCCTTCTTCTTCCATCTAAATTGTTGTTAACTATCTTTTAACCGTATTTTCTTTTCAGCCAATCTTAAAAAGTTCCCCAGATTTCATAGTAGTCTGACTCTGTCTTATCTTTAATCGTCATTGTTAGTCTATTCATTTCTGCACATTCCAATATTTTCCCAATCACCTCTCCCTCTGGGGGGGGGCTTTCAGTGCTTTCCAATTTTGTGCAAATTGCATCAAATTGCACGATTGCTTCTGCATCATTAATAGCGAGTAAAACCTCCTAGAAAGCACAAGCAGGAAGTCTACTTGACAACTGATAGGAAGGAGACTGGATGCTTGTAGAAAGTCGGAACAAGTAATAAAGGGAATCAGAGGTGCACAGAGAGTCCTTTCTCTCTTTGGGGAAATGTTGCGTATCCTTTTCATGCAAGAAATCCAAAATTGTTAACATCTCCAAAGAAGCCTGGGAGAGATCCCTGACGCCACAAGCTACAGGTGATCAGCGTCAACCCGACTGAGGTGATCGGGCTAAAGGTCTGATTCAACAAAGTCTGACCAGAGCATCCCTCCCCCCCTTAGTTTCTCCCCCCCCCCCCACACTTCATACCTGCAGCTCCACTTCTGTAGCCAGGAACATAAACAGGTCATGCAGCTCCTGGATACTGCGCTCCAATTTCAGAATTTCACTGTGTCTGGTTTCGATCTCGTTCAGAGCCTGCTTTGTCACTTGGGTGTCCTTCATGAGCTGCATGAAAAAGGGTGACGTAGATCAGGGCTTTTCAACCTTTTCACCCATAGTACCACTTTTAGGATATAGCAATATCCGAGTACCACCAGTCGCCTAGCAAGGTGTCAAAAACTTGATGACCGCCCCCCCCAAAAGGAAAAAAGTGATAAAGTACAGGTAGTCCTTGACTTACAACAGTTTGCTTAATGACTGTTCAAAGTTACAATGGCACTGAAAAGGTGCCCCCCAAGGCACAGCAGAGCAAGACACCTGTCTGTCCACCCGGCGGCACTCTTCCTCCTGTCTGAGGTTTTCATTGTTGTGAGCATTTCTGTTGAGGATTGGCAGGGGGGGTGGGGTGAGGGGGGGTTGGTTTTTATTCCCCCCGTCTGCTGGGTGGTTGCAGCAGGTTTTGGTCACTTCACATGACCCTGGGACACTGTGACCATCATAAATATGAATCAGTTACCAAGCATCTGAATGTAAATCACAAGACCCGGGAGATGCTGCAACATTCCAGCTGATCGGCGCTTCTTCTGGGCCCAGCTGGAGCCTGGCACTGATCCTGATGCTTCCGCTGAGCCCTGACAGCCCTGCAGCTCCAGCCATCTCTCGCTCAGGCTTGTGCCGTGCTGCCACCGGTTCAGCTCATTCCCCTCCCCCACTACCACTTTTCTAGGATGGTCGCTTACCACCTGCCAGGTGCCAATGTAGCACATGTGGTACCCGTACCACTGGTTGAAAAGCCCTGACGTAGATTAATCCCCTTGTTTAGAGCCCTTTTCCTCCTTTCAAAGGACCCAACATTCTGATACTCACATTTGAAATAAATACTTCTGTCTGGCCGCTCTCCAGCATCTGATCCAGCTCTTCATCAGATACCACCGTGCTACCAGCTGGAGGGAATAAAAAATAATAATACAGTGTCAATATCAAGAAAGCGAGAGGCTTTTCAATCTTCCGTCAGAAAAGGGAAATGAAGTTCAAAGTATCTTTTCCCCCCCAGCAGTCTGACCCTTGTTTTGCCCTGTGAACAGAATCCAAAAAGGTAGGGGATCTATCTGAAGCGTAAGACCCAAAAGCCAAGGGGTGCACTGGAATTTTGAGGTTATCTGCACCACAAATGCCCTCTTGTGGTAAACTGCATAGCTGGAAGGCAGAGAACCCGATAAGGTTAGGGCTAAAAACTCTCTGTATTTCACAACTGGCTGACATCGGCTTTGTTGCTTGTTTGCTTTCTTTCAATTTGCTACAGGGATGCTGAGATGACTGCAATTGTGATTTTAAAAGGACTTGTTTCGATTTTTTGATGCTAGGAGTTGGTTCACACATCTTGAAGTTGCCACGGTTAAGAAATAAGTGCTTTAAAGCAGGGGTCCCCAACCCCCAGTCCGTGGCCCAGCACCGGTCCACGGCATGCCAGAAACCGGGCTGAACAAACAAGCAAAGCCCCATCCGTGGGATGTAGGCAGCACACGAAACCACACACCCTCCGGGCCACAGAAAAATCTCTCTCCATGGAACCGGTCCCTGGTGCCCAAAAAGTTGGGGGGGGGGCTGCTTTAAAGCAGGGCTTTTCAACCAGTGGTATGGGTACCACCTGTGGTACATTGGCACCTGGCAGGTGGTACGTGACCATGCTAGAAAAGTGGTAGTGCGGGAGGGGAATGAGCTGAACCGGTGGCAGCACCACACAAAGCCTGAGCGAGAGACGGCTGGAGCTGCAGGGCTGTCAGGGCTCAGCGGAAGCGCCAGGATCAGTGCCAGGATCCAGCTGGAGCTCGGCGCTGATCCTGGTGCTTCTGCTGAGCCCAGAAGAAGCGCCGATCGGCTGGAATGTTGCAGCATCTCCAGGGTCTTGTGATTTACATTCAGATGCTTGGCCACTGATTCATATTTATGACGGTCACAGTGTCCCAGGGTCATGTGAAGTGACCAAAACCTGCTGCAACCACCCAGCAAATGGGGGGGAATAAAAACCAAACACCCCCCACCCCTGCCGCCAATCCTCAACAGAAATGCTCACAACAATGAAAACCTCGGACAGGAGGAAGAGCGCCGCCGGGTGGGCAGGCAGGTGTCTTGCTCGGCTGTGGCTTGGGGGGCACTTTTTTTCAGTGCCACTGTAACTTCAAACAGTCACTAAGCGAACTGTTGTAAGTCGAAGACTACCTGTACTTTATTACTTTTTTCCTTTTTTGGTCATCAAGTTTTTGACACCTTGCTAGACGACTGGTGGTACTCGGATGTTGCCATATCCTAAAAGTGGTACAATGGGTGAAAAGGTTGAAAAGCCCTGCTTTAACGGATGGCATTAGCCCTCAGATACTATCTATCTGAGGGATAATGACTTGGCTAATATATAAATAGCACACATTGCTGAAGGGCTTTATAAAACTGAACATTTAGAGGTGGAACATAAAAGATAACCCTAGAAACTTTAGCAAATTTCTCCCAGGAAGAATGTATCAAACGTTTTTGAGAAGGGACAGGCTTTTAACTGTGATCTCTCTCTTTTATGGCTTACATTGGATAAGCTTCTACTTTTCTCTCCTCAAAAGAGAAACAGTGCTTTTGGTTTTTAAGAAATCATGGTGAAATGGGCTTCAATGGGGCTACAGATAGGAGACTAATGGCACATGCAATTTTGGGGCTGGAGGTTTTTCAAGAAAAGATTTTGTCTGGGATGGAATAAGGATTTCTGCCTTGGGCAGAGGGCTGGATTAGAAGACCTCCAAGGTCCCTTCCAGTCTTATGATTCTAGGTCAGTGTTTCTCAACCGTGGCAACTTTACGATGTGTGGACTTCAACTCCCAGAATTCTCCAGCTAGCGTTGCTAGCTGGAGAATTTTGGGAGTTGAAGTCCACACATCATAAAGTTGCCAAGGTTGAGAAACACTGTTCTAGGTTATCCTTCCTGGTTTTTTTTAAAGATACTGAGAATGAGGATCCCAGGTACTGGACTATAAAATAGGCATTTACCCTTTTCTTGTGGGTCTGATGCCTTTCCACCTTGCTGAAGAACACAATAGGTCAGGGGTAGGCAACCTCGGCTCTTTTATGACTTGTGGACTTCAACTCCCAGAATTCCCGAGCCAGCCATGCTGAGGGGAAAGGGAGAGTTTCCAAGCTGAGCCCTGCTGGCTCAGGAATTCTGGGAGTTGAAGTCCACGAGTCATAAAAGAGCCAAGGTTGCCTACCCCTGCACTAGGTGGTATGTTCTCCCACTTTTGGTAGGCCGATGCCTGAAATCAGCCACAAAGAAGTAAAAGTGTATCTATCTTCTTTCTTATAACTGAAAACTTCCTTCCTTTCACAACTGGAAACCTGCCAATGCTAATTTTGAGTTTTACAGGAGCAAGGGGCCTAGTTGATGTTAGCTGTTCTTAGCATGCTATGGCCTATCTTGTCCTTGACTATACCCAGGCCTACAAAGAATGTATCGGATGTATAAACTGAATTTAAACAGACTACTTAGACCAGCTTTAAGATGCTGGAAAATCATGTGATGTTCTTCAACGGTGGAGTTCACACTTCTTTTCACACATGTACATCCAAACAATTATGTTGGTAGGGATTTGACAGCAAATCACAAAATGGAACAGGCTGGCAATGGAATTCATTTTCCAGAATGTTCCCTTAATTTCTGATGGGCAGGTCTCAAAGTTACATTACAGTATGTTCCTGTGTCTTAGGCTACAGGGCCATGCATTTTTAAAAAGCCTCTCTAACTCTTTTCCAAGAAAAGAATTGCGTTTAAAATGCATAATGCACATTAAATTTGCATACTAGTTTGTTCTGCATAATTTTTTCTATTTCTATATTCACTGACAGAGCTAAGAGTAAAAAAAAAACAAAAACACCCTTTTTTCAGTTAAATTAATGGTCATTCTATTCATGGAACAGAACACAACATTCCTGTTTTTTTTAAACCGCTATCTCTTTAAAGAGAAAGAGTATAGAAAATAGGATATCACATTTGGACATTCTCCCTTGTTTATTTGATGTGGGGTTTTTTTATACTGCTTCCTACACTGAAGCATCTGGAAGCAATCTATATAAATAAAAATGTAAATGTTCGTTTGTTCAAAATCTTAAATCTCTGAAAGTTCTTCACCGATTGCTTTGAAATTTTGGCACAACGTTGCATTCGAATACGCACGTATTTTTATATACCTATATTATATAGATGTCACACCTGTGACAGGTAAAAACATGTTTTTGAAAAACAGCGCCATCTGTTGGACGTAAAAGCAACACACACTACGATTTTACCATTCCATTTCAATGTTTCCGATTTACGATCCATTTACGATTTCCAAATTTCCAATTTTACGATTCCATTTCAATGTTTCCGATTGCATTGTTAAATTGAATTTTCATAGATTTCGATTTATTTTCATTTTGATTTAATTATTTCGTGTGACATTGCGTTGGAATTGATGCACAGACAATGGAACACCAAAAAATATTGTATACCCACAAGCATTGTGAAATTAAACATATTAGAAATGTGCGCTTTCTCTTTTCTTTCTTTTCCATTTAACCAGACTGAGCCACAGCAACGCGTGGCCGAGTACAGCTAGTATACAATAAAAATAGTGACTTCTGGAGGATGAAATGGTGGGCTGAAGACGACTCTTGAAAAGTAAAACTGACAATCGTGACAAGCAATGAAGCTCTGGTGAGTCGATTGGCGTTATTAACCTCTCCAGACAAAGTGAGGTGATTCCCACAAAGTGCTCCAGACAGTTGCTTCTTGTGAGGAAACCTCAAAATAAGTGTCTCGGGTGGGTTTTGAGTACTGGGAGATGAGGTAAAACATTTTGCTCAAGCTGTGGTTGGCCCCTTTAAAAAAATACTAAGTTCACATACTTCTTTTTCTAATCAGAAAATTGTGTATTAACTACTTTTTAGCTATTAGAACCTTTGGATTGACAAATCTGGAAACACCGGGTGGGGTCTGCCTTCAATCGTTAATCAAAGAAAAATTTAACTGAAAGCTTAAGGAATTTGAAATAAAAAGCAAAAAGCTGATTTTAGAAAGGATCCAGACAAATTGGAAATAATATTTTGCAAATTAGTTATAAGAATTTTTCCCATAGGGAAGCAGACTTGTTTTGAATATAAAGAGATAAAAGATTTTAAAAATTGGGACTAAAAAGGCAGCTAAAGATTTAATTAAAGGAGAAAATACATCAGCCCGATTGAACAAGTACAGAACAATGCAAAATATTTTAATACTGGAAACATTGAGGGATGCTTTTGAAAAATGGAATCAGAAATTATCAACAATGTTAATAGCAATATTTGCTTCTATAATAAGCCATGTCCCAAAAAATATTTTGGAAGAAATGACAGAAGAGAAACAAGTTTTATCTGACAAGACAGAGACACTGAAAGGGATCTACAATTGACAGGATACAAGAATGACATGGAAAAAGTTGTTTCATCAGTCATAAAAATGTAATCCATTGATATTTTAAAAGTTAAAAGAGAATTACAAATAATAAATAAATAAAAGTGATCTGGATAATTCTGTCATATTAGATTTACAAAAGAGGTTAGATGAATCTTGTGGGAAGGGTTAAAAAAGAAATAAGAATTAGTTCTACAAGAGTACTTGAGTGGACTAAAATTAAGACTGTTAGAAGAAAAAGAAAGGAATATGAAGTTGGTTTATTTGATCAAGGTTAAAACAGATATGTTATTTCTGACAACTTTTAAAGGCCTTTTGCTGATACCAGGACTGAAATGATGATGCTTTATGGATTTATTTATAGATAAGAAATGGAACATGGGATGAAGAGATCATTGGTTGTAAAGTAAGAGGTGTAAAATGATTAAAATTGTTTATACTTGTTGTGATGAAGTCACTTCTTTATATATTTCTTTTTCTTTATTCTTTTCTTTTACATTTTTTTCTTTTCCTTGGCACTTTTANTCTTTAATGAAATTACTTTAAAAACTACAACAAAAGCAGCAATACAAGTATATAATGATAACTAATATATTAAAGGAATGTAATGTATTCTTTATAAAACCCTAAAAGTTGCTATAGAAGGTGTTTCTCAAGAGAAAGAACATTCTAGAATGGAGGCACCATCGTTAAGAAGGCCCATCTGTGAGCACTTGCCAGATTTTTCAATAAATGCATGATAATCTCAGTGACTGACCAGACCTATAACTGAGATTCTCTAACACAGGGCTTTTCAACCTTTTCACCCATTGTACCACTTTTAGGATATGGCAACCTCTGAGTACCACCAGTCACCTTACAACGTGTCAAAAAGTTGATGACAAAAAAAAAAGGAAAAAGTGATAAAATACAGGTAGTCCTCGACTTACAACAGTTTGCTTAGTGACTGTTCGAAGTTATAACGGCACTGAAAAAAGTGCCTCCCAAGCAACAGCCGAGCAAGACAGCTGCCTGCCCGCCCGGCAGTGCTCTTCCTCCTGTCCGAGGTTTTCATTGTTGTGAGCATTTCTGTTGAGGATTGGCAGTGGGGGTGGGATGGGGGGTGTTTGGTTTTTATTCTCCCCATCTGCTGGGTGGTTGCAGCAGGTTTTGGTCACTTCACATGACCCTGGGACACTGTGACCGTCATAAATATGAGTTGCCAGGCATCTGAATGTAAATCACAAGACCCTGGAGATGCTGCAACATTCCAGCTGATCGGCGCTTCTTCTGGGCTCAGCAGAAGCACCAGGATCAGCGCCGAGCTCCAGCTGGATCCTGGCGCTGATCCTGGTGCTTCCACTGAGCCCTGACAGCCCCGAAGCGCCGTTCAGCTAGAAAGCGGCACTGATCCTGGCACTTCCGCTGAGCCCTGACAGCCCTGCAGCTCCAGCCATCTCTCGCTCAGGCTTGTGCAGTGCTGCCACCGGTTCAGCTCATTCCCCTCCCCCGCTACCATTTTTCTAGGATGGTCGCGTACCACCTGCCAGGTGCCAATGTACCACAGGTGGTACCCGTACCACTGGTTGAAAAGCCCTGCTCTAACAGGTATCTTTATTTGCAATAGTGGCAAATATCTGTAGCTCAGGTGTAGGATGAGAGTGAAGGTTCGTTCTCCGAGCTTGTGGGTTTGTTTTCGAATGTTTCGTTACCAGGCTACCATCGTCAGCTGAATTTAGGGGAGTTTTAGGTATATTTGTCCCAAATAACTAAAATTTTGAATCTGGCCCAGCAGCTAACTGGCCACCCTCTGGGACTTGCCTTAGCCATAAAATATCCAAGTGTCACACTCTTTCTACAGCAGGCCCATGATTTGGGGCAACCCTACAAGATGATTTGACATTAAAATGTAGTATTTTCTGTGCCTAGCAAAGGCAACCACAAATACTCACTAATCTGTAGATGCCGTTTGATGCGCTCCAGATTGCGGTCTCGGTAGTCAGACTGTATGGTGTTGCATTTATTGATGAGATCCAAGAATTGTTGGGTAAGGATCCCATGCTGAAGCAGAAATGTACATAATGAGTTATGCCGACCATTTCCGCGTCCTCACCTTGCTTCCCCATCAAGGCAACCATTTGCGTTGCTTCTCACCTGATTCCTCTTCATTCGGTTGTTGAATGAATTTCTGTTTTCATCTTGTTCCTCTTTCGTAGGCTCAATTTCTACATAATCAAAAAGTGGCTACAATGAGATTGTAATGCTAATTTCAAGAAAGAGAGATCTGAGGACTAACATATTTAATTTTTCAGAGCGCTAGATACTAATTCCCAAGCCCAAGAGTCAAGATACAACCCTCTTTGTTTTCCTCGTAAGTTGTGCGCACTCACTCTTCAGACGGGCTCTGGTGTCTTTCGCCAACTGCTCGATCTCTTCGCGCAGCTTTTGCAGGCCTTGCTTCGTGTCTAACAAAACACAAGTGACAATTCAAGAAGGTGCTATTTTTCATCGTATCCAATTCTTGCAAGCTTTGTAACTGAGCTACGCTGCCCCCCCTCCCACCTTTCCTCCGGGAAACTATTCAGGAAACTATCTGTAAATGAGGGGAACAAATTTAGTCCTCGTTTAGCGAACAGCAGTAGGGACCATCAACCCAATTAAGCAAAGCAGCCACAAAGCGAAAAATGATGTGATCATGACTGTTTGTGATTTTACACAGGAGACCCCTATCAACCGACTGTAATGGCAAACCTCTGACTGAGAGAGAGAGATGCAAATGCAGGCAATTAGTCAGAAAGTTACTTTTCATTGTAACCATGAATAGTTGTCTGAGGCAGTCGCTAAGCAAGGACTGCTGTGGTGACGCAGTGGTTAGAATGCAGTATTGCGGGCTAATTGTGCCGACTGCCAGGAGTTCAGTTCAGCCCAGCTCAAGGTTGACTCAGCCTTCCATCCTTCTGGAGTCGGTAAAAATGAGGATCCAGATTGTTGGGGGCAACAGGCTGAATCTGTAAACCGCTTAGAGAGGGCTGTAAAGCAGCGTGAAGCGGTATATAAGTCTATTGCTACCTGCAATCCATTGTACATCACACCAACTTGTTCCTGACCAATCCTGCAAAAATCTGTCTCCTTTATTCCTGTGCTGAAAAGTCTGATTCATAACTGCTTATTTTCTTCTGTATAGGTAGCTCTAGCTTAGCAACCACAATTGGTACTGGCAGTTCTGTTGCTAAGTGCCTCAACTGCCTAAGCGAAATATCACGTGACCACAGTTTACATTTTTATTTCTGTCTTCTCTATTAATGCGGTTTGTTGTTGCAAGCCGGTTCTGAAATGGCCCGAATGGTGATCACATGATTATGATGGTCATAAAGGCAAGGGTTGATTGCAAAACTTTTTTTTTTATGCTGACATAATTCTCAATGGTCATTTAGCAAGGCAGTCAGGAAGTGAAGACTCCCTGTACTTTATAGCTATTTCTCTTCAGTAGTCTCTCTCTTTCTCTTTCTCTCTCCAAACCTCAGTTCTTATATTTCTACTAAGAATTCTACTGCCAAAATAATTCTTCTGACTCGATTCACATAGCACAAATTCCTCGCCCTTATTTTTAAATCTATCTTAAACCCAACTCATTTTCTTTCAGTTCTTGTTACAGTCAACCACACTGGTTTCTATTCCTGATTCTTACTCTCAACTAACCAAAGGTCTCTTGCTTTCTTGATCAACACTGACTAATCTTCCTTGCTGCCTCATTTGTGTAAGTCTCCTGTTTGAAGCATGTTTCCTTTTTCCGCTAATTTCTTCTCAAAGATGGTATTTCCTTTCCCATGTCATCTTACGCCTCGGTTCTCGTTTAACTAAAGCTTTAAAGAGGGATTGCAGCATTTGCAGTTAGTTTTCTGTTTGTAATTTTGGAACGTGTCACCTCGTAAGCAACGGCCTGCAACACGCCGTATATATTTAAGCCCACAGGTCATACGCTGGCAGATTGAAACATGACCATTGGAAACCTACTGTCATCGGGGATTGGTGAAGCCAGGATCGTAGTCTGGTTTTTCTCTAGGTCCTTCACTTTGCTTTCCAGTGTCTTCAAGGCTTCACGGATGCCACGTGTCTATAAAGGGGATAAATGATATAACGAGAAGGTCAGTTATCAATTACTAACTCCTGGCCTTGTCTCAGAGAGCTCAGAAACATTGATGATACAACTGGTTCTTCTAGGTCGATGGTTCTCATCCTGTGGTCCATGATGTCATCACGGGGAGGGGGGAGTGTCTGTGAAGTCTTGAAGAAATGTTATGATTTAAGTATTGAGGATCCGTGGCCGTAAAAGGTATTTAAAGGACGTCCGTGGTGAAAAAAAGGCTGAGAACCACTGTTCTAGGTTCTATATCTAGGATCTATAGCAGCGATGGCGAACCTTTTAGAGACCGAGTACCCAAACTGCAACCCAAAACCCACTTATTTGTCACCGTGGCCCACTGGGTGGGCATGGGTGTGGTGGTCATGGCAGACTGGGTGGGTGTTGCCAAGGTGGGTGCGGTCACCTCGATGTTGCTCATAGGAAGGGACGCCTGTGGGGGCCGGACAGGATTGGGGGAGATCCAGGGGGTCTCTGGCAGGTGGGGCGGTGGGCAGGAGGCTCATCCTGCGGGGTAAGGCGAGGCAGGGCGGGAGTGCCGCAGGACAAGGCGAGGCAGGGGCCGGGGCGTCTGCTGCCTGATACCATTGGCCCCGGCACACAGAGGCCAGCAAGTGCATGGGGGCCGACAGTGTCCGTCAGCAGCCACAGCCTGCCGGCCCCTCGACCAGCGCACTCTGGGGCTCCGCAGCCCGCCGCCAGCAGTTCAGAGAAGCCGCCTCTGAGCTGGACAGCCCGCCGACAGCTGAGGAGGCGATGCAGTGGGTTGTGCCTGGGAAAAGGAGAGCATGCGAGGCCAGGAGGGATGGGACGGGGGGGGGGGAGGGAAACCAGCCATGCTGGGATGCATCCGGCCACGTGGGACCTCGGCGAGTTAACGGGCAGCTGGTTGAAGAGGGACAGTTGCCATCTCCAGGGCATGGTGCACGTGCCCACAGAGAGGGCTCTGAGTGCCGCCTCTGGCACGTGTGCCACAGTTTCGCCACCACTGTTCTATAGATATTTTTTTTTAAAGTATTTCAGAAGAAGAAAATAATTACAGGTAGTCTTCACTTAATAACTGCCCTTTTTAATAACCATTCAAAGTTACTGTAGCACTGAAAAATTAACTTTACAACCTGTTCTCCCTCTTATGGCCGCTGCAGCGTCCCTGCAACCATTTGCCCACTTCATAGCCAAGCTGAGTTAACGGAGAAACTGGAAGATTTCAAGTCACAACCACACGTCTTGCTTAATGACTATGCCACTTAGTGACAGAATTGCCGGTCCCAGTTGTGGGAGTTAAGTGAGGCCTACCAGGCAGCAAAGTGGGCAGCGGCATGTTTTTATACGCCGCTGTTTTTATTTCTTTCAACAACCATCAGTGCACCATACAGATAGTCCTCGGCTTACAACAATTCATTTGGTTCCCGTTCAAAGATAAATGGCACTGGAAAAAGGGACACGAGCATTTTTCACACTTACGACCACTGCAGCATCCCCCACGGTCACGTGATCCAAATCCAGACGCCGGGCAATTGGCGTGTACTGATGGTGTCCTTGGATCACAGGATCACCTTTTGTGACCTTCTGACCAGCAAAGTCCACGGGGAAGAAGCCGGACTCACTCAACAACCGTGTGACTAACTTAACAACTGCAGTAAATCACCGAACCGCTGTGGCAAGAAAGGCCGTACAATGGGGGCAAAACTCACTTAACCACTGTCTTGCTTAGCGACAGAAATGTTGGGCCTAATTGTGGCCGTTAAGTCGAGGACTACCTGTACCACTTTCAATTTCTGACCACTTTTTGCTTAAATTTCCTCTGTCCATTTTTGGTAAGCGCTTTATTAAGACGCACTGTACACATTAATCTACTTTAGTTTTCCCTTCTTATAAATCAGTGGTTCTCAACCTTTTTAATGCCGTGACCCCAACCGGTCGTAAGTCAAGGACTAAACCA